TGCATTTATTTATTTAAATCCAAATTTCCCGAAATTTCGGCACTAGGGCTTCAGCGCCGTGCTGCAGCAGCAGCAGCAGCAGCAGCAGCACAAGGCTCCGCGAAAGCCAGCTGCCGGGAATCCTCTTCTCGTTTTTTAGCCTTTTGCAAACTTAGGACGAGAAGAAGCAAATTAATTCAGGTTTTGCTGCTGCTGCTGCTCGAAGGAACGAATTAATTCAGATTTTGCTGCTGCTGTTGTTCGGAGAATCAAGCTAGCTGGGGGTTTGCTCCTGCTGCTAGTCGAAGAAGCAGATTAATTCAGGCTTTGCTGCTGCTGCTGCTCGAAGAAGCAAGTTGATTGGAGCTTTGCTGCTGCTGCTAGTCGAAGGACCAAGTTAATTGGGGGTTTGCTGCTGCTGCTAGTCAGAGAAGCAGATTAATTCAGGTTTTGCTGCTGCTGCTAGTTGAAGGAGCAGATTAATTCAGGCTTTGCTGCTGCTGCTAGTTGAAGGAGCAGATTAATTCAGGCTTTGCTGCTGCTGCTGTTTGAGGGACCAGCAGGGCTCAAACTGAAACTGCCTGCGGTCCAGTTTGCTGCGGCTGCCCGCAGCTGCCCCTAGAAGCCAGTTGAGACTAGAAAGATGCAGTCTTGCTCCTGGTGCTGCTGCTGCTGCTGCACCTAGTGGCTGCCTTGAGACAAGAAATGGTTCATTATAGAGGGCTCAGAGATGCCCATTTTGTGGCTTTCTAGCAGTACAGATGGTGAAATGGTTAATTCAATTTCGCATAAAGGCCTCCTGGAGGCAAAATGGAGGAATTAAAAAAGTTATTTTTGAAAGAAGAAAGTTAAAAAAACTCTCAGCTAAAGCAGCAGCAAATTTGAAGTCTTGAGAGCTGCGCAGCAGGCAGGCCGCACCAGTGGTCATCCGGGGTGGGTGGGGGCGTTTCGTGATTCTTATTTGTTTAGAAAATATAAAACTGTATTAAGAATATAAATTTATTAAATTCAAACTTTATTTTTGGATTAATTCAATCAAATTGCATGTTGAAGACCATTTATTCGCACCCCCGCTCGCAGCTGTTGCAGGCCACTGCTGCTGTGGGGCCCCGCGGACACAGAGGCGGCCAAGCACTGAGCTGTTCTTCTTAGTTTTGGCAACAAATAAAGAAAATAATGCAAATTCAAAAGTATTTTCTTCTTAAATTCATTAAATTTGGAAATTTTGTGCACCAATTTGCGTAGGAAGGCTCCTCCTAAGACAGGCACAGAGGCATTGAGTCGCCGGAGGTCACTTCGCCGTCGCTGGACTTCTTCTGTCCGTTTGGGCTTCTATTTGTTCAATAAATCAAAATTTTGCGATTTATTTGTTATTTTAAATCAAAAAAGAGGAAATAAACAAAAATTTCTCCTTTATTTCCCTTATTTCCTCTTCTGGCTGGCCAGCTTTCGTTTTTCGCCGTTTTGCAATTCGCGTCAGACACTGCTGAAAAAGGCTTTTCTGGAGAGTTCCGAATTCTTTTCTGAGTCCATTTCCCGAATTTTCTTGAGATCTATTTGAATTAAAGAAGTGAAACTGTCCACGGGCCTCGAGGAAGTTGATTTCCTGCGTAAATTGAGCTTTTGTCCTTCAAAAATCGCCGGAAAAGACCAAAATGTCCAAACACGGATCCTACAAACTCCTGAAATGTATTGGAGAGGGAGCCTACGGGCGCGCCTATCTGGCCACAGATGCAAAGGGCAGCAAGTGGGTCTTTTCTGGTTTTTTTTCAACTTTTATTTCCAATTTTTGGCATTTTTGATCAATTTTTGGCATTCTTTTCTGTCTTTTTTCTCAATTTTCAACTCCATAGATTCCCAAGACCTTCTACCCTAGGACTTGAAGTTCAAAACCTTTTATTTTTCTCTTATTTGCAAAAAATTGGGTGGAAACAAACGGGAAAGTGTGTTGCTGCGTTCAGCAATTTCTTTTTTCTTTTTTGTTTTTTTCTTTCTTTAGAGTCGTTGCAAAGGTAATTGATGTCGGCAAAGTTCCGCAAAAAGAAAGACTTGCATGCATTCAAGAAGTAAAAGTAAGATTGGCTTCTGCTGCTGCTGCAGCGACTGCAGCAGGACTTTTGCAGCAGCACCAGCAGCAAAGTTTATTTTCTTCATTTTCTCTTCTCATTAAAAGAGAAGCAGCAACTCCAACAAACTCCCCACGTGCTACCACAACAAATAATTCACAAATGCAAATAATTCATCTTTTCTAAATTTCCCCAATAAAGAAAAAGTGATTTGTGCCTTTTTCTAGCTTTTGTCTCTCCAAAATGTACACATTTATTTATTTATGTACTCTATTAGTATTTATACGCGATAACAGCTGTTCCTGGGGGAGTGTGGGCCCGCGCATGCACCTGTGCATGCAATGGTGCATGCACAATTGCATGCACAATTGCATGCAATTGTGCATGCACTTGTGCATGCACTTGTGCTTGCACTTGCCTGCCGATGAAAAGAAGCAAAAGTGCGGCACCGTGGCGCCTGCGGTGTACGTACACCTGCGCAGCTCCTGGCGACGCTGGACCATCCCTTCATTGTGCGGTATCTGGACAGTTATATTGAAGGCCAGAGTCTCCATATCGTCATGAACTTCTGCGACGGTAGGCCACCACCCATTAGCTCAGCCGCAGCAGCAGCAGCAGCAGCAGCAGCAGCAGCAGCAGAAGGAGCGGCAGCAGGAGCCGTAGGAGTAGCAGCAGTAGCAGCTGCACTAGCGGCAGCGGCAGCAGAGGCAGCACCAGATTCTCCGCATCGTAATGAACTTTTGGGAAGGTAGACGAAGCACCCATTAGCAGCAGCAGCAGCAGCAGCAGCAGCAGCAGTAGCAGTAGCAGCAGCAGCAGAGGGACGCGGACAAATGCATAGAGGGCAGAACAGGAAGGAGCTAACCGGAGGCCAGGCAGATAGAAAGGCAGCTGCTGTGACTGATGCTGCTGCTGCTGCTGCTGATGCGGGTGCTGCTGCTGCTGCTACTGCTGTTGCTGCTGCTGCTGCTGCCACCACTGCTGCTGCTGCCGCTACTGCTGCTGCTGCTGCTGCTGCTAGGAGGAGACCTTTCGGAGCTTTTGCGGCAGCAAGGAGAGAAGCAGCAGCTGCTTCCAGAGGCCCAAGTGGTTCGCTGGCTGGCGCAGCTGCTGATGGCTGTGAAGTACATACACCTCAACCACATCCTCCACAGAGGTCCGCCCCAACCAAACCGTAAACCCTAAACCCTAAACCCTAAACCCTAAACCCGAAACCCTAAACCCTAAACTCTAAATCATAAACCTTAAACCTGAATACTCAACCCTGAACGTTAAACCCTAAACCCTAAACTCCAAACCTTAAGCCCTAAAATCTAAACCCTAAACCCTAAACCCTAAACCCTGAACAGATGAGTTGAACGGTACAGAAACACTGACACGCGAAGGGGAAGTCTCAGGCTGCTGCTTGCTGCTCTTTTCCCAGTCCGTCTTTGCATGCATTTGGTTTTTCAGTTTTCTTTTTCTTTAATGCTTTTTATCTTTTCAAATGCCTTAATGGACTTCACTGAATTTCAAACTGCTCAATGAACAGCTTCAGGCCGCTCGCTGCTGCTGCTCTGCTGCCGCTGCTGCTGCTGCTACTGCTGCTGCCGCTGCTGTCGCTGCTGCTGCTGCTGCTGCCGCTGCTGCCGTCGCCGCTGCTGCTGCTGCTGCCGCTGCTGCCGTCGCCGCTGCTGCTGCTGCTGCCGCTCTTGCTGCTGCTGCTGCTGCTGCTGCTGCTGCAGACATAAAGAGCCAGAACATATTTGTGGAGAAGAGCGGGCGTCTGCGTCTGGCGGACTTTGGAGTCAGCAAAGCCCTCGAGAGTTCTTTAGCCCAGGCCAAGACTTTCATAGGAACTCCTTACTACCTCAGCCCCGAGCTCTGCGAGGTAATAACAACAACCCCACCCTTTGCATGCACCTGCCTCTGCTGCTGCTGCTGCTGCTGCTGCTGCTGCTTTTTTCTACCCCTTCTGCAGCTCCAGGAGCCTCAGAGTCGCTTTTAGTTTGAGAGCTGCTGCAGTTAATGTGATCAACGCATTGTTGAGTGCACACCGGTAGTGCAGCAGCAGCAGCAGCAGCGGCAGCAGCAGCAGCCGAGGGCCACGTGAGAGCAGCAGCGGCAGCAGCGCAGCTGTATCAACAGCAGCAGCTGCAACAGCTGCTGCTGTTGATACAGCTGCGAGAAGTCTGCAATGTAGCGCTCAACAGGAAGAGCTACAGCAGCAGCAGCAGCAGCTACAGCAACGCCAGCCAGAGTAGCCTCAACTACAGCAGCAGCAGCAGCAGCTGCCAGCCGCAGCAGCCCCAACTGCAGCAGCAGCAAGAGAAGCAGCCACAGCAGGGTCTGCCGGAGCGAGCAGCCTCAACTCCACCGGCAGCAGCTGCAACAGCAGCAGCTGCAGCTGCAGCTGCAGCAACACCCTCCAAAGCAGCTGCAACCAGAGCAGCAGCAGCAGGAGCAGCAGCAGCAGCAGCGGGTGTGTGCGTGCTGCTGCGCTGCTGCACTTCGCAGGGCTCCCCGTACGGGCCCCCTTCCGACATGTGGGCTGTGGGCTGCGTGGCTTTTGAACTTTGCTGCTGCAAAACTCCTTTCCACGAGGCCCAGAACCTGCCAGACCTTTGCTACCGCATTTGCAACGCGCAAGTCCGCGAAACAAGAGAGCTGCTGCTGCTGCTGCTGCTGCTGCTGTTGGTGCTGCTGTTGCTGCTGCTGCTGCTGCTGTTGCTGGTGCTGCTGGTGCTGCTGGTGCTGCTGTTGCTGCTACTGTTGGTGCTGCTGCTGTTGCTGCTGCTGTTGGTGCTGCTGTTTGTGCTGCTGCTGCTGCTGTTGCTGCTGCTGCTACTGCTGCAGCGGTGCTGTGGCGCGGGTTTGTGCGTTTGCTGCTGCTTCTCCAGATTCCGCGGATTCCTGCTGTTTATTCTTCGGAGCTGCAAACCCTCATCAGCAAAATGCTGCAAAGATGTCCCAAAAGAAGAGCGACTGCTGCAGAACTCCTCGAGACCCCCCTCATCCAGGTGTACAGACACCCCAACGCAAACCCTAAACCCTAAACCCTAAACCCTAAACCCTGCGCCCGAAATCCCGAACGCTAGACCCTAAACCCCTAAATGCTAAACGCTAAACGCTAAGCCCTAAACCCCAAACACTAAACCCTAAACATTGAAACCTAAACCCTAAACCCTAAACCCTCAAGACTAAAGACTGTATTTTTTGTCTCAGGCAGCAATAAGGGATATGGTGAGGGAAACGAAGAGCCGCCCGTCTAGTTCGTCTTAGCAGCAAAAGCAGCATCTGAAATGTCTTTATTTTATTTTTCAAAACTGCATTCAAAATGTTTCTTTTTCTTTTTTCTTCCTCCCCCCCTAAATGCCTCTGTCGCTGGGGTGAAGAGCTAAAAAGCTTTTTCTCCATTTGAAAGGAAATGCGAGGTTAAATGCATTACTTTCATCGAGAAAAGAAAAGAAAATAAATGAAAAAAGACAAACATTTCCTCTTTGTTTTCTCCCCTTTGCTGCAGCGCTTTGCAGCAAAAGGGCAAATAAATAAAACAAACTGCAGCAAATGCAGCAAAATTAGCGAAGCAGCAAACAAAAAACTTGTTCTTTCCACAAGTCCGTTTGCGTCGCCAGCAGCCTGCAAATTGAGGTGTACGTACACCGCAGCACAGCCACTTTTCGGAGAGGGCAAAGAAAAGGCCTTTGAAGAAACGCAAAAATGGATCCAGAGCCCTTTTGAATTATTTTTTTTGAATTAAATTAATAATAAACATAAATAAAGCCATAAAAGCTCACCTGGAGTTGGGAGAAGCCGCACTTGCGAACACGAGCGCCGGCTTCCGCTCGGCTGTCTGGGCAGCTCGCGCCAGGCTGCGCACCGCCCAGGCGTTCAGGTGTACAGGCAGCTGCAGCGAAACAACCAAAAGGCCCCCCTTTTCCACTAGTGCTGCTGCAGCAGTCCAGCGAGCTTCAAAGCCCCGCAAAGAAGGTCTAAACCAGCGGCCGAACTGGCCGGCTCTTTGGTTGGCTGCGAAGCGCACGGCGGGCTGCAGGTGTACGTACACCCCGCGGAACCTGCACAGAAGCGAAACCCGCGCGAAAGCCCGAAATTAAACGCCATTTCTACTTTTTGCGAGTTTTCACCGGAGTTTTCTTCATTTTGCAATAAAAGTCCACCCACCGAAGGGCAGAAGCCCGCATTTCCAACAACTCCTTCAGTACATCTCCGGAGTGCATGCAGGAAACAGCGCCAGAGAGCCCGTTGGCCGCTGCTGCCTTTTCATTGAGAGCATTGAGCGCCTCAGACGTCTCCAGCAGCACCGCGCTGGCTGCCCCCTCTGCAAGCAGCTGCCTGCTGCTGCTGCTGCTGGGGGCTCCCACAGGGGGGCCCCCCGCCCCGCGGGCGCAGCAGGTGACCCCGAGGCCCCGCATGGCGCCGTTCACAGTCAGCACTGTGGCGCCTGCGCAGTGTCTGCGCAGCAGCAGCAGCTGCTGCAGCAGCGCGTGGCTGCAGCAAGCAGCAAAAGGGGGGAGGTGTAAGTGCACAGGTGTCTTGACACCGCAGGCCCACACCCAGGCCACGGGATCCGATCCCAAGACCAGCTCACTTTCATATTCTGCCCCTCCCTGAAAGGCAGCAGCAACAGCAGCAGCAGCAGCAGCAGCGAAAGATTCAAAAGCTGCTGCAACTTTCGAACTAATTGTTCCTCCGGCTCTTTGCGCGGCTAAGAGCAACTCCATTCTTTTTAATTATTATTTAGTCCCAAATAAAACTAATATTGAGGGCCTCATGCATTAAAAGAAGGCCCAAAATGCATGCATGCGCGCATGCATTTTTTGCTGTCTAGACTTGGGCAATCTGGGGTGTACGTACACCCCACGGCTGCGCCCTCCACGCCCCAACCCCACCTGCGCCAGTTTTTCCTTTTTGGATTTTAAAGTTTGCATGCAAAGAGTCTCCGGATTAATTGTTTCTTTTATTAAATCAATTAAATCTTCTTTTAACTCCATTACGGACTGCGCAGAGAGGCGCAGCACCGCCGCCTGAGACACAAGCAGCAAAGCAGCAGCAGCAGCAAAGCAGCAGCAGCATAGCAGCAGCAGCAAAACTTTAGCTGCACTGACACCGCGCCTCCCCTAGTGCAACTAGACAAGTGCAGCGCCAGATAAATGCTTCCACCGGTGCCACACAGAGGCAGCTAAAGCGGCAGCAGCAGCAGCAGCAGCAGCAGCAAAGTGTCACAATAGGCAGCACAAACCGATCCATAAACGTCAACTTCAACTCCGGGAATCCCGTCAGCCTCCCCGTCCACCGCTCGCCAGACATCATGCACAGCCGTGCTGCTGCTGCTGCTGCTGCTGCTGCTGCTGCTGCTGCTTGATGTAGTGCTCCCGTCAATTGCATGTGGCAGCGGCTGTTCTTGGAGAAACCTGCGGCGCTGCACTGCAGCAAGAAAGCGGCTGCGCAGCAGCTTGCGGAAAGAGCCTTCATGGGGAAAGCTGCTGCTGCTGCTGCTGCTGTCGCTGCTGCTGCTGCTGCTGCTGCCTCGAGTGACCATGCGGACCGCCACAGACGCCTGCCTGCTGAAGAGCCCAGAGCCAAGGTAGCTGCCTGCAGGTGCAGCAAAGCAGCAGCACAGCAGCAGCAAAGCAGCAGCACAGCTGCTGCTCAAAAACCTCTCCTTTTCTTCTTGCTGCCCCCCTTTCCCCGCAAGAGCAGCAGCAGCAGCACTACCGCCAGCCGCAGCTACGCCTGCCGCTGCCGCTTCTGCCGCTGCTGCTGCTGCTGCTGCTGCTGCTGGAGGCCGGCTGGGGCTTACTGTCGCTGTCGAACACTGGCAGCAAAAGTCCAGTTTGCTGCTTCTTGAAGTCTTTTATGTTTTCTATCTCAAAGTCATAAATCCACGGATGGCCCAGACGAATGGCCCGCCGTCTCTCGAGGCCCCCGGGGGTAGCGCTGGCTGGCCGCAGCACGATGCGGCTGCTGCTGCTGCTGTTGCATGCAGCAGCAGCAGCGGCAGCAGCAGCAGCAGGGACAGCGGGTAGACCCTGGGGCTCTTCAGTCGCAGTCGGATCAGCTGCTTCCAGTTTCAAATCTTCTCTCGTCTGCGGCGCCTCTGAGCTTTCTGCGGCTGCTGCTGCTGCAGCAGCAGCAGCAGCAAGATGCGCGTGGCGAGTCTGTGCATGCAGTGCCGAAGTGGGAGAATAAAAGGCCCCAAAAGTGACCAGTGGTCCACTTCGAGTGGCTGGCCAGTGGAGTTGGTCTACAGTTTCAAAAATGCCGCGGGAGCGCCTCAGGCTCGACGAGCCGCAAAGCATTGCTGCCTGCTGGCCCCGGCTGCCGGTGCTGCTGCTGCGGCCATTACTGCTGCTGCTTCCGCTGCTGCTGCTGCTGCTGCTGCTGCCGAAGGCTTCGGGGCCCCCGGCAGGCCTCGCGCCGCCGCAGGGACAGAGCCGCCTAGCAGCAACTTGCAAGTGAAATTTGGCAAAGGCCGATTTCTTAATAGGCCTTGACATTTTATGCCGCAGTGTTAACGGCCATGAGCAGCTGCAGCACTTGCTGCAGTGTTGAATGAGCTGCTTTCTTTGCAAGTTTTTGTTGAGGCTTGTTTGCAGAAATTGAAACTCCAAACTCTGCTGAGTGCTCAACACGAAAAATGCTGCAAAATAATCCCATTAAAGCTTCCCGAGAGCAGTTTCAGAGTTTCTGATGTTCAATTCAAAATGGAATTTCTGTGCAGAGCATATTGCGGAAATGCAGAACTGAACGACGGAGAAGTCCAGCCTCTCAAACGGCTAGCTCCGAGCGCCTCAAGGGCGTAAAACTGTCAAATAAAAGAACAATTTGAGTTAAATGAAACGGAGTTACCTTCTGGAGTTACTTGTCTTGCGTCGATTTGCCGCGGTGGACCCCGGTGTATGTACAGTGGTTGCCACTGCGCTGCATGCAATCGGGTGGCCCCGAACCTTGAGCTTGCTGCGGCAGTTGTTTGACTTGTGCTGATTTGTGTGTGTTATTTTGCGCGATTTAAGAAGAAGTGTAAATCATTTGCTTCTTTGTTCCCTCACTTCGGCGCTGCTTGCTCCCGGTGCAGCGGGAGAGGCCTCTGGCCGCTGCTGCTGGCGGATCTGCAGGGGAAAGCGCGCGAAACCAGCGAGTTTCTCGTTTCTGCTGAAGTCCAAATAGTATTATAAAGCTTGAAAATGCGGATTTCACGGAGTCTGGAGGTTTGATTGGCTGCTGCAGGGCCCGCGGCTCTCCGACCCGCTGCACCTAGGCTGTCTTCAAACTTGGCCGGATTTGCTGCGATTTCGCGGCTTTCTCAGCGCCATTAGTTTCCTTTTTAAAAGAAAAGAAGCGCAAGTTCCAATTGCGTGCACAAAGCCCAAAGATTCCCACGGGTCTCTTCATTTTGCATGCAAAATGTCCAACTCGAGCGACGATGACATTCCTTTGAAGCAAAGAGTGGCGAAGAAGAAGTCGGCCTCGAAGAAGCCCGTGGTGGGCGCGGCCCTGCGGGGCTTGCAGCAGCAGCAGCAGCTGCAGCAGCAGGAGTTTGAGGAGCAGCTGTTTGCAACTAGCGCGTCGCCGCGTGCCGCGCTGCTGCTGCATGCGTGTCTGCTGCAGCAAAGTGGAACTAAAGGCCCTTTTGTGTCTTTTTGCTGCTTTTTCAGAAAGAAAAAGCCCCGAAAAACCCCAAAAAAGAGGCCCCCAAGCCCAAGGCCTCGCCCAAGGCCAAGGCCGCGCCGCGGGCCCGCAGCAAGAAAGTTGGCAAAGAAAGAAGTTTAGAAGAGGAAGAAAATCTTTTGCCAAATGACGCTCGCAAGTATTTCAAACAAGGCCAAAAGTTCATCACTCCTCCCAACGTGGGACCTCCCTCCATTTGGCGTTTTGCACCGCAGTTTGTTTCTTTTGTTTGTCTTTGAAAAGGCTTTTTAAGCTTTTCAAAACATTTAAAGCCTTTTGTTTGGATCTTTTCAAAAGAGTTGAAGTCTTTTGTTTAAGTCCTTTTAAAAAGATTTAAGGGCTTTTGTTTAGGTCTTTTTCAAAAGAGTTAAAGTCTTTTGTTTAAAGCTTTCAAAAGATTTAAACTCTTTTGTTTAAGTCTTTTTAAAAAGATTCAAAGTCTTTTGTTTAAGTCTTTCTGAAAAGATTCAAAGTCTTTCGTTTGAGTCTTTTTGAAAAGATTCGAGTCTTTTGTTTAGGTCTTTTTGAAAAGATTCAAAGTTTTTTGGTTTTGTGTTTTCAGGGAGATGGCACCAGAGGCTTTTACGAAAGTTTATTTGAAGAGAACAGAAACAGCCTCGTGGCGCTGCGGTACCTGAGCTGTCCATACACCTCAATTGCGCCTTGTTCCGTGCACTTGCCAATCCGCCACTTTTGAAAATGCATGCATTTCAAAACTTCTTTTCTTCCATTCTTTTTGCTGCGGAGTGCCTGCAGCTGCATGCATGCATTTCAAAAGTTCTTTTCTTGCAGTTCTGCTGCGGAGTGCCTGCAGCTGCATGCGTGCAATTCAAGAGTGCTGCTGAGTGCCTGCAGCTGCATGCATGCATTTCAAAGTTGCATTTCTTGCGTTTCTGCTGCTGAGTGCCGCAGCTGCATGCAGCTGCATGCATGCAAATCAAGAGTACTGCTGAGTGCGTGCAGCTGCATGCATGCATGCACTTGAAAGCTGCACTGATTCCATTTTTGCTGCTGAGTGCCGCAGCTACCTGGTGGAGTGGGGAGTGTTGACGGGGACTTTGCTGCACGAGTCTTTGCCGCGGTACTTCGCGCTGAAAGACAAGGGGGCCTTCAAGGGGGCTGGGGGGGGCCTGCAGAAGGCGTTCATGAACGGGCCGGACCCCGCGGACGTCAGCGCAGCTGCGAAGATGTTGAATGTGAGAATTCAGGAGAGAAAATAGACTCGAAAGGAGAAAAAATGAGTTCAAAATCGAAAATGAATGCAGAAATACAATAATAATTTAGTGGGGATTCGGTTTCACCCGAACATCGGAACCAGAGTGAGAGTGCTGCGCGCTGCGGTGTACGTACACTCAGGCCAGCAGCGGGAACAACTTGCAATAGAGGATCCGTGCAGATTTGGCGGCCGAGATGAACTAAAAAGAAGAATTAAAGACTTTTAGTGCCTCCTTGAGGGCCTGTGGAAAGGTATTTGCGCAGAAGAGGAAGCTCCCAAACCGCCGCGTGTGTAGACTTGCATGCGCAGAAGTTCCTTCTGTATGTACTGCATGCACTGCATGCACTGTATGCACTGCATGCACTGTATGCACTGCGTGCACTGTCTGTACTGCATGCACTTATGTACTGCATGCACTGCATGTACTGCATGCAGTGGTGTGAATTGTGCACAAGTCCCGCACTTCTCAGCTTATTCATATTCAATTACTTGCTGCAGCAGCAGCTGCTGGCTGGCTGCAGAAAGCTGCACTTGGTAAGGGTTTAGGTGTTAAGGACTTAACAGCTAAACCCTTGTTAAGGGTTTAGGTGTTGAGGATTTAACGCCTAAACCCTTGTTAAGGGTTTAGGTGTTGAGGACTTTTGCTCTTCTTTGAATTCATTTCGTCTTCGCCCAAGCGCCTTAGCCCGCCGGGCACTTCGACGCATGCAGCTCTCAACTGCAACTCAGCGGCAAATCTCAACTCTTACTTTGCACCTATAGAAGATAAACTGAAATTAAAGAAATAAATGAAAAAGATTTTCACTTTTAATTTGCGCCTATAGAAGCTAAAGTGAAATAAAAGAAATGACTAATTACAGTATTTCTTCCTTCTTAATTTGCACTTAGAGAAGGTAAAGTGAAATAAAAGAAATAACTGAACGCAGCAGATCTTCACTTATTTCACTTTATAGAAGATAAAGTGAAATAAGAGAAATAACTGAACACAGTAGATCTTCACTCTTAATTCGCACTTACAGAAGATAAACTGAAATAAAAGAAATAACTAAATGCAGTATATCTTCATTCTTAACTTGCACATATAGAAGCTGAATGTGAAATAAAGCAAATAACTAAAAACAGCAAATTTTTACTGCCAATTTGCACACTTGGAGGCTAAGTGAAGTGAAACAAAACAAACAACTAAAAACGGTATTCGCACATCTAGAGGCTAGACCTGAAGCAAAACAAACAACTAAAGGCAACAAATCTTCACTGCCAATTTGCACCTAAAAGGCTAATCTCGAGGCTAAAGTGAATGAAATAAATAACTAAAAACAGTAAATATCCACTTTTAATTAACACTTCTTGATGCTAAAAGTGAAAGAAAACAAATAACTAAAACCAGCAGATCTTCTCTCAATTCGCACCTATAGAAGCTAAAAGTGAATTAGAAGAAATAACTAGAAGCAGTATATCTTCTCCCGAAAGTTGCACTAATAGAAGCTAAAAGTGAAATAAAATAAATAACTGAAAGCAGCGGATCTTGACTCTAAATTTGCACTTATAGAAGCTAAAAGTGAATTAGAAGAAATAACTAGAAGCAGATCTCGACTCTAAATTTGCACCTATAGAAGCTAAAAGTGAAATAAAATAAGTAACTAAAAGCATCTGGTTTTCACTCTAAATTCGCTAGGAGTTGGTCAAATGAAACAACTAGAAAGAGCACACCTTCACTGGTAGTTCGCTAGAAGTTGATGGAAAGAAACAACTAAAAACAGTACATCTTCACTGTCAATTGGCTAAAGTGAAGGAAAAGAAAAGCTAAACTGCAGAAAATGGCATTTCGAGGCCGCTGCTGCTGACACATAAATGCTTAGGGGAAAGCAGCACAAAAAGCGCAGCTAAAGCGTTAAGGGTGGGGCTAGGACTTTGTACAAAAGAGGAGCTGCGCAATCGGCAGTTTGTTGCATGCATGCGCCCCATGGAATTAAAACGAAACAACACATTAAACGGGGTCCGCGCATTCCTTCGGAGGCCCCGTGCTGGCAGCTGCTGCTGCAGCAGCTGCTGCTGCTGCTGCTGCTGCCGCTGCCGCCCGCAGCGGCAGCAAACTTGAATTTCCGAGCCGGCCGGCGAAGGGGTTTGCAAAAAGTCCGGCCTCGAGCCTCCGGCTCCGCCTCTGCATTCCGCTTCCTGTGTATAACAACCAACCTCACCCCCCGAAGAAGCCAAGTGGATTCCCAAGTGCCTTTCAAGGCTCTTGGCGCAAGCCCCAGCTCCACCTGCAGCCAAAACGCATGCAATGCATGCACGCCCCGCCTCCAGCCAAAACGCATGCACTCCGCATGCACTCCGCATGCACCCCGCATGCACTCCGCATGCACTCCGCATGCACCCGGCATGCACCCGGGATGCACTCCGCATGCACCCCGCATGCACCCCGCATGCACCCCGCATGGACTCCGCATGCAGGCCGCACGCAGGGCGCATGCAGGGCGCGTGCAGCCCGGGTGTAGCGCGTGCGGGCGCAGGCGCGGGCCTCAGAGGGGCCCCGGGAGTTTGCGTTTGGCGTGGTGGTGGTCGTCGGGGAGCATCTGGACGGTGGTCTCGACGAGGGCCCTGACGAAGGCGTGCATGAGCTGCTTGGTGTAGGCGGCGGTGGCGGTGACGCGGATGCGGGGCCGCAGCAGCGGGCAGGCGGGGAAAGCAGCGGCGGCGCAGTAGAAGCCCTTGTCGAGGAGACAGGTGGTGATGCGGAACATGCGCTGGGGACTGTTGGGAAAGACGACGGGGATGACGGTGGTGCAGGCGAGGCCCTCGACCTCGTACTTGAGTTCCTGCGGGTAGTCCGCGGGCCAGCAGCCGTCGCCGCTCTCGATGAGGGCCCGCAGGTACTTGGCGTTTTCCTGGGCCCTCCCGATGCGCCACTGCTGCTCGCCAGTCATCAGCTCGAAGGCCTTGAGGGCCCCGCCCGCGGAGTAGGCGGTGAGCGAGGCGGAGAAGACGGAGCCGGGGGCGTGGAAGTCCAGGAAGTCGATGAGCGGCCGCTTGCAGGTGATGAAGCCCCCCACGCCGGCGATGGACTTGGAGAAAGTCCCGCACAGCACTTCGCAGGCGCCCGGCATGTCGAAGTGCTCCTCCAGGCCGCGCCCCGTGCGCCCCAGCACGCCCAGCCCGTGGGCCTCGTCGCAGAGGATCCTGCAGTTGTGGCTGTTCGCCAGAGTGCGCAGCACGGGCAGCTCCGCGATGTCGCCCTCCATGGAGTAGACGCTTTCGATCACCAGCCAGCAGCCGCGGTACTTGTGCCGCTCCCGCTGCAGCAGCCGCAGCAAGTGCCCGTAGTTGTTGTGCTTGAAGAACAGGCACCGCGCCCCGCACACGCTCATGCCCGTCCGCAGCGACGCATGCGCGCGGCTGTCCGCTATCACCAAGTCCCCCTTCTTCGCCACCGCCGCCACTGCGCTCATCGTCGCCAGAAACCCCGTCGCGCACAGCAGCGCGTCGTCTCGCCCGTAGTACTCCGCCACCCGCCGCTCCAGCTGCCGCAGGATCGTCGAGTTGCCCCCCAGCATGCGCGCGCCGTGCGACCCCGTCGACCACTCCCGCGCCGCCGCTATCGCCGCCTCCTGCACCTGCACGGCCCCGCACGCACCCCGTCTGCTGCTCCACCTCGGCTGCTGCGGCAGCAGCGCCGGCAGCGCCAGCTACCAGCGGCAGCACCAGCTGAACAGCAGCAGCGCCAGCGAAGCAGCAGCAGCACCGGCTAAGCGCCAGCAGCACCTAAGCGCCAGCTAAGCAGCGGCTAAACGCCAGCTCCACAGCAGCTAAACTGCAGCTCAACAGCAGCAGCACCGGCTAAACAGCAGCAGCACCAGCTAGACAGCAGCAGCACCAGCTAGACAGCAGCAGCAGCACCAGCTAAACAGCAGCAGCACCAGCTAAACAGCAGCAGCACCAGCTAAACAGCAGCAGCAGCAGCAGCAGCAGCAGCAGCAGCTAGACAGCAGACTTGGGGTTCGCGGATGAAGTCGAGGTAGCTGTAGGAGCTCATGGGGTAGGCGTGTTTGTTGCCGGCGCAGAGGACCCTGTCGGCCTTGACGTTGGAGATCTCGACCATGAAGGGCCACCTGTTGTCCTCCTTGAGGGCCCGCTTGGCCTCCACGTAAGTGACCACTTCCGACTCCCCGGGCCGCACTTCAATTCCGAGTTTAATCTTCTGCGCCATGTAGAAGAGGTGGCGCGTGCCCTCGGCGAAGCGGCGTACGTACAGCACGCGCGCGTAGAACCCCGCCGAGTCCCGCAGCCGCCGCAGCGCCTCCGCAGCCACTTCTAACAGTCTGCCTTCCTCGAGGGCCTCTGCGAGGGGCTGCAGCAGCCCGCGCAGCCGCTGCGCAGCTTTCTGTTCCGCCAGCTTCTTCAGCATTTGCTGCACGTCCGAGAGGCCCGCGCCCAGCGCTGGGGGGGCCCGGGGCCCCGGCAGCAGCTGCGTCGCTATCCAGGACACCCGCAGCGAGTCGCTCGAGGCGTCCTCCGTGAAGGAGGCCAGCAGAAAGCCCAGCAGCACGATCCCCAGCAGCGCGCAGTGCAGCACGTCCACGGAGGCAAACAGCGACTCGTAGCCCAGCCACTGCGCGGCGCCCCCAAACTCCTCCCCCCGCGGCACCCACGAGCCCCCGAAAAACATCTTCGCGCGCTGCAGCAGCAGCAGCAGCAGCCGCGGCGGCCGCGGCGGCGCAGCGACAGCGACAGCAGCGAGCAGCGAGAAGCCGCCGGCGCGCCCCGGAAGGCGCACTGAGACAAAACTCCCGCTCGGGGCGCCCAGGCACGCAGTTCAAGTAACGCGATACGCAGGAAAGCCCGGGGAACGCGGGGCGGAGAAGTTTCGCAGATATTCAAAACACCATGGGCTCCGAGAAGGAAGCCGCGCGGGAAGCTCCGCGGCCCGGGGAATCCGCAGAGGCGCAAGAGAGAAAATTGCAAAAGAAACACAAAATCCAAAAAAAATGGCCAAGAGGCGCGGGAAAGGCGGCGCAGCAGAACTTGCAACAGTTGCACCCGCAGGCTCCGCCGTCTAGAGCATTAGCAGCTCTGTGGGCTATTACACCCTTAAACCCTTCACTACCTCGCAATCCGCTACTCTTCCGAAATCCACTTCTACCCCATCCCCTTCCATTTCCAGCAGATGGCTACTCCCCGCAAATTCCCTTCCCAAGGTGCCGGTACACCGCAGGGCTCTGGCTGCTGCGACGCGATTATAAGGGCTGTGCTGTGTTCCGCCGCCGCGACTTGCGCTGCTAAAAGACTTTCCACAGCCAAATGCTCCCCAGTTCAAAAAACAAAAACCACTTTTTTCCGATTCGAGAAAGAAAGATTAACGGAACCCGACGTTTGCGCACAAACAGCCTAACCGCTGCCGAGTCCTCCTCATGCGCATCAGCTGCTTCGCTGACGACGTCCAATCCCAACAGCTACACTCCCACTTTTTCCTCCAAGAAACACTTTTGCTAATTCAATAGCATTTCTTCCTTCGTCTTCTGCAAGTCTTCTGCAAAAGTGCTACAGAGCATTTAGGCGTTCGCAGCCGAAACAGGTAGCCACGCAAACGGTTCACACTTGGCTGCAGGCGCTGCCCTGCCGCAGCTTCAGTACTTCCTCCGAAATAAGTAATTCACAATTGACACTCCTTTTGCATTTCCTAACCAAAGAAATATTTAACGCCTTTCTTACACGCACGGAGCCTCTCTCGCTCCCCCGGAACTCTCCACGGGGCCTCTACGTATTCAAGACGTCTCCGTCGCCGCTTGACCTGCACGCTAACAGGCAATTTGGCCGCTAGAGCTAAAACACCAAAACTTAGGACTATCTAGAATGCAATTAAGTGGCTAAAGAAGCCTTAAAGGAATGTCTAAGTGCACGCGAAGGTACGGCCTCACTGGCCGCGAGCTACAGACACGTAGGGACAAACACGAAGCGAACTCTGCAGCCTGGCAAAGACCCTTTTTGCAGTGCAATTGGCGGCAAAGCCTGCTACATGTCACTATTCAATTAATTTAGAACCTTTTCCTCTTTGCATGCCCCCGAAGGCACAAGGAAAATGTTTTCCGTGTGGGTCACCTCAGAAACTCGCAGCGGAAGCTTGTGCAGCTTTTCTATGAAGAGCCCAGCTTCAGCTATGCCCTCTGAGAGTGTGCCTGAGGGTCTTACTTTAAAAGAATAAACTTATTTGACTCATTTCAACGGCCTTTCTGAAAAACACTGTAGGGCGGACCAGCTTCACTAGCTCAGGAGCCTATGGGCTTGAGACAGTGTAGAAGTCGCGCCTTGAAACGCCGTAATTTCAGCTCAAAGGTGTCTTTGTTCTTTGTTTGTTTAAAACAAGTGAATCCATCAAAATAAAAACCTGCAAAATTTCGCACAAAACCACCTAAAAGGGAAGCAACGCTGCTGCCACGAGCTCGTGGAAAGTTTCCCCAACACGCACACAACTCCGCATGCAATAAATATCCCCGCAGGAAAGGAAATACTTCTGCAATCTTTGTCTTTATTACACTATTTGCATTCTTCTTTGTTCTGCATTGAACAGCAAACAGCAGAGTGATGCTACTTGCAGTGCAAATGCGTGAGAATTGGGAAAGCGGTCAAAACACTTGCAAGAAAGCAGTAAATGGTGAAACTTTAGCAACTATAAACAAGAAGATGAGAAGACTGACGAATGATTTCCGCGAGTTCTACTTCTCAGTAGCTTTTAATGAAAGGTTTTGGACAACTCACAGACACTTTTCATTAACAAACGGCTTTCTAAGCTGAAACTTCATTGGAATTTGCACTAAGGCGATGCCCGCGCTGTAACGCCTACTGGGACCACCTTGGCATTTATGAAGAAGCTGAACATGGAGTTTGCAAAGCTCCTGGCCTTCTATCATATTTATGCCAGATAATTTATGTTATATTATCAGAATCCTAATCTTATGATTCCCTTGGCAGTCGCATACCCGAGTGATTTGCACTGTATGCACGGATAGCTTGACTGCTAGTTACAAAGGGTAAATCCGGAGTGGCATATTCCAGCTTTCTCAATGCCAAGTTTGGTAAACTGTTGCGCACTACTGTTACTGGTGATATAAGTCATAAACAGCTGCTATATATACTATGCATTCCAGCAGAAGTGGCCTCGGCCCGTCCACTTTCTCAGCAAGTGCCCCTTCTAAGACTGTGTCTATGTTGCGTTTAATGATATTTACATACCTGTCTATTCATTATCTAAAGCCTTATGCCGCATTCAGTGCGTCGAACGTCACGCTATTCCGTTTCCAGTTAGTATCCTGCAGGTTGTTTTAGGGTTCGTGCCATATTCGCATTTCGATGGTAAGAATGACGAATTGAATTCCTTATACATATTGTACACTTTTTTGGAAAATTTCACATTTTTTGCGCTTCGTTATTATTGGATCGTGTCTCTTTAGTAAGTCCGAAGTATCGGACCCAGTCGAATAAACACCTGTCCGTGTTGAATGGCTCCTCTGGTTGCCGCACGTGTCATTTAGTATATTTCAAGGAGAGTTTATGAAAATAAAAATACAGCTTTTTCGTTTCTGTCTAGTGGCGTGTTTGTTATCTCTGTGGATGACGCCGAACCAAAACACCCCGGAGTTTCAACAGGCGAGCTGCTTCTTTGCGCCGACGCTGCCCCACTTTGCTTATTGTTACCTTCCTGAAATTACTAACAAATTAGGAAATCTGAAATTTGACAGGATAGTCTTTTGTTAAACATATAGCAACACTTTTTTATGTAGGGTATGGTCATATCCCTGCTGCCCGCCCCACGAGTACGTGTGTCCATCAGACTGGGTGGGCTGAGGTAAGCGGATCCACGGCAATACCGAATCTGCCAATAAAAGTCTTCAGCGTTTTCCACTCTGAGATTTTCTTCATATTTTCGAATACTTTGACTAGCTTCGGCGTAATCGGGGGCCTCCTCGTTGACGCACTTGTTCTCCGCAGCCCATCGTGTACACCCGGTTCAGTTCCAGTACCTCACAGAGCTACTGGACCTTATAAATATATACTCGTTTGATTGCAGAATGACAAAGGAGAGTAAGCAGGGCCTTTCATGTTCTCCAAAGAGTCTGCGCGGCTTCCTGCCACGTGGTGATCTCCCTGGAGCGAAACAGCCCACGCCCCTCAACTTGAACAGATATGCGCTGCTCTTACTCTATGTACTCCAGACATTCATGACAGGATGTGTTTACTTCGGGTGGGCTCCGCTTTCTGCAATGCTCCTGAGGGCAGGAGTGTTCAGTTTCAAGTGCGAATCCGACGGGAAGGGGGGCTTTGTAGAGGACCAGCGGGAGTTCGGAAACAACTACATATGTGACAAGCAAGATGCTTCCGTACAGAGTTTATTTGTCATAACTCTGGCCACACATTGCACAATGAGTGCGCTGGCTGGCACAATGATGGACACCCTGGGCCCGAAGATCACCTCGGTGATCGGCCAGTGTTTCCACATAATAGCGTGGTCCCTGATATCCACAGTTACGGCGGAGTCGTACGCGCGCGTATACTTGGGTTTTATTTTCATGGGTCTTGGTGCAGACACTGCTTTCCTTCCCACTTTGCTTGTTACTCGCCTGTTTCCCGGCTCCGCTGCCACGATAATCACGCTGATAGGATCTGCATCATCTGCCTCTTTCGCCATCCCCCTGATATTGAATTCCTACTTGACTGGCGAGGGCATTTCAGGCTGCTGGTGGTACGTGGGCTTTGGCCCGTGTCTGTTCCTGGTGATCGACGCACTCGTAATGCCTCTCAAGGCATTCAAAGTCTTCGAGGGTGACTTGCCAGAGAACAAAGAGTCCAGCCAGGCTGGCGAGCCAGCGGAGCCTCCCTTGTCCACGCAAGAAACGGGAGAGCTTGGCTTGGACGCAGCCTCTGTGGCGCCAGCTGAGCCGAAGAGCCATCAGCAAGCTGTGGGAACTCTCTCGAAACACAGTTTTCTGAAAACCATGTTTTCAGAGCGGTACATTCTCATCGTCATTTACTTCATTGCCGTTGGATGGATCACATCCTTTTATCAAGAAGCCCATGACCGAATTCTGGAACAGACTGCTCTGGAGTTTCTAGGCAGCGCTCTGCCATTCTCGTTCATTCCTTGCATCATTTTGGGCAAGCTGTCGGAAAGTATTGGCATTTTGGCAGTTATGGGAATAGTTAATACTTCAGGTGTGCTGGCGTATGCATTCAGCTTGAAACAGACGGTGGCTACCGGCATTATTTCTGTGCTCTGCTTCATGGTGTACATGTCTCTGTTCGTTTCCCAAGTTTTCGTGTTCGTGGAGGAGAATTTTCCAGCAAAGTTTTTCGGCCGTCTTATCGGCATTGTGCAGCTAGTTGGAGGTCTGTTATCTCTTTTGTGCAGCCCGCTGTTTCACTTGACAGTTGGCCTTGGCCAGAAAGGGCTGTATGTCGTGCAGCTTCCAATGATTGGTCTTCTGCTCGCCATGTATTTAGTGTTGGCTCGTTTGTGGTGGATCCACGGGAAATCGCCAGAGACGAGCAAGGAAACACAAGGCCCTGTGCCCTCAACAGATTCTTTTGCTCTCGAGCCGTGACTGCCGGGGGCCACAGGGTCTTATTGGAATGCATGCAGAAGGCGCTCCTGTAAAGTGCACTGCTGTGCGTATTTGTGCACAGCAAGTGCAGCAGTCCAGCTTCCTGGCAGAGAATTGGCTGTCTTCGGCAATTTGCAGCAACATGCCGTTTGTATTTTGCGAACTGTTTCAAGCTGGTTGCCTTTGTGTCGGTCCAAGAAGTATTAGGTTGCAGTGCCTTGTCCTTGCCGGAATACCTGCGATTTAAAGGCGTTTGGCTTCTGGCATTCTACACGGTGTGTGCCCGTGTGGCATCTTGCACGGCTGTCTGCAACGCAGCGCGTTTCCGGTACCAAGTGTATCATCTGTGCCTCCAGTTCTAGCCTTAATGGGGCATGCATAAACCAGAGGGTCTGCCAAAAGTGCCTTCTACGTTTTCCCGCTTTTGCTGCAATTGCTGCAGAAACCTTCGCTTGTTATTAATTTGAGAATTCTGGTATCCCAGAGTTGCACGATTTCCCCCGCTGTGCTAATGCGGCGCATGTAGCGATCTAAGCACGGCCTCAGAACTAGATAAATCCCCAAAGGCCTCAGTTATTTACACAGTATCCCCTTAGCTTTGAACAGATAAGTTGTCACTGTTTTAGCATTCGGCTCAACGCAGCAAGCGGCTGACTGCACACCAAGCTTTGAAAAAATATTGGGTGGAGCGTGCAGAAAATGCATGCAGCGAAAAACGACGCAAATGTTGTTATGAACTATTAGAGCTCTCGATTCTGGCTCGTTTATTTGGTTCAGAAGTGGATGCTGCTGCAGCACTACCTGACACTTCCGGAGCCTCTTGCTGAGTGTCGCTGTCTGGCCGCTGAATCCCGTCTTCCTCCTCACAGTCGTTGATTTCCTCTTTGTCTGCTAAATCCCCGGAGTAGCTGCCATCTAGCTTTAATGCATCTCCTTCCGGCACCGCCATTGCTCCGTCCAGCGGAGTGCCATCGGCCTCTGCAGCTGCCTCTGCAACTTCAGCCTCTAGGCAGGGAGGCAGCACGTAATACGGCAGTTTGCCCCGCTGGAGGTCGTACAGCACTGCATCACAAGAAAAAACCACAACGGAGAGGCACAATGAACAAAATGAAAGGAAAGACACCAGCAGCACCCCGCATGCGAATTGCGCTGCGCTTACTGATGCGGGCGGCAGTGGAGATGTCCGGCTCCCCTCCCTTCTTGAGTTTCCCAAGTCGCACAGCCAAGATCGACAAAAACTCTTCGGCATCTTCCCAGGAAATTTTGGAATCTAAGCCATAGCGGGCCACTATAGCTTCCCTGAAGACGCGCAAATTCAACACCGAGAACGCTTTGCTCTACTGGACTACAGTTGCCAATGCAGTGCCCTCCCTTCAAGACACCAGAAAAGAAATATACCTCTTGACTTTCTCCAAAACAGTTCCAATGTGCTCCTCAGGGGCACTGATTCTTTCAGGACGAACAACGCCGCGCATAACCTGGCAGAATGCAAAAACGCTCGGAGAGTGTCTTCACCCGCGATCCGGGTAGGTAGAAACAGCAGATGAAGCTTGAACGAATTCTTTAAAAAGGCCGCGGATCTAATTTAGTGACTCATGCATTATTTTCACTTAATCACTGCGGGCCGCGTAAGGTACTTCAACCTAACTGGCAAAAGAATGACTACGCCGCACCTTGTCGGTGTCGGTTCCCGCATCGCTGCTAATGGGAACAATTCCTGGGCAGTCAATGAGGTACAACTTGGAAGTGAGAGCGACGTATTGCCACACTCGGGTCTGCAATAACACCACGAAAATTTGCATGTAAGAGCAATGGAGTGCTATAATGTGTCAACTCCATCCATACGAGAAATCTGCTACAGCGAGTGAGCTGCATACGCGAAGGCGCATTTGGTGATGATGCGAGCCATTGCCAGTCTTTTTTGCAACACAAGCAAGAATTTGTTTAGGTTTCGCATCCCGTTCATGGCAAACCATGCAATTTTTCACTGAGGTCCAGATAGTGACACAAACGGCACACAAAAATTGTGAGATGGGTAGGAACAAGTTTAGGGGGAATCCAAGAAACATGACTAACCTGTCCCGGTATTGGCGCCGCCTTGCACACTTGTTTACTCTTCAAAAAATTGATAATAGAACTCTTTCCTACATTGGGGTATCCGAAAAACCCAATAGACACGTGCTTTCTATCCGAAAGCAACTGGCCATACTGCCTGCGTCGGAAACATGCAAAAAGAAGTGAAGTGGCTTTGCTAAAGTTGCTGATTCAGGCCGCCGAGAAGTCTTCCACAGGATCTCCAAAAAATCCCACCTTAAAAGCTGAAAGAGTTGTGTTCTTCCGAAATTTTTCTTGTTCTTGTCGGCTTGCAACAGCAGAGTTGGCATTTCTTTGCTGAGTTGCTGTAACCAATAACGTGCAACACGAGGAGGTACCAAATCCACCTGCATACACAGCACTAAAAGCCGCATTCCATGGCCAGTCAAAGCTTGAAATAAAGCAAATCTCACTATTTCGAAAATGCATGCAAGTGGCTTGCCTTATTTATGACCAGCACCAGGTGCTTCGACGAACGGTGCGCTTTCAAATACTTTTCAAGGCGTCTGCAGCTGCGTAACCAAACAAGCAACAACAACAGAAATGTGCATGAGTAATAAAAGTCATCAAAATATGCGAAAAATGCAGTTCTTCAACTTCACAGACAAGGACATCAAATTTGCAGAGGCGCCCCAAGATCGCTCAAGAAACTCTGTGGCAGGGATGTACTTTTCCCTCGAGCTGCACCTTTGGCACTCAGAAAAGTATTTCACAAGGGCATCGCCGAACATTGTTAATACTGTTTAGTATAATAATTGTCATTATGTTAAAGTTTGCAACTTTAGACAACAGCGTACCGCGTTCCCATCGGGTCACGCGCGTCTACAACTTGCACTAAAACGTCCGACGAGTCAATGACTTTGTACAACTCCTGCGAACACATAGCAGTAGAAAATGAGTTCGCCAAATGCCTCCAAAGACAGAAAAACAGAAACACTTCAAGTATGAGAGTTTCTGAGCCTAAACTATTGCGATCTGTGCTTCAAAACGAGTGGGCTGGCGCACTCCCCATATCCTGCGGCTCGTGCCCTTCTGGAATATCAACTCCACGGGGCCTCCCTCCCCCGCACCATTTGCCGGCACATCTCCAGCAGAAATGGACTTCTGAAAAGCAGCTTCTTTCTCTTCAGCCTGCATGCAACGGGCCCCACATCCACACAGACTGTTCTCCGCAGGCTCGAAGTGCTGCAGCCCCGAGTACTTCAGCTGCAGACAAAGACAACTGCCCACCTGCAGCGCCAAAGTGGCCAGGTCCGCAGCCTGCAGGCGGGGCCTCTTGCGGGTCTTTTTGCTGCCGAAGACGCCCTCGAAAGGCTCAATGGCCAGGAGAGCTTCTCCACTCAACTTCGGCAAAGCGCCCCCAGCTGCCAGCGCTTCCTTCTTGCCCCCCACGTTGCCATCGTTGATAAGACTCATCGGCAGCTTCGAACGCCGCAACACTACGCTGCAGTCCAGAGTGCAGAAGCTCGCAAACAAAATCCTGTTGTGCATGCAATTCGGAGTCTTCTAAACCATTTTCATGCTATTCAATTTGCAATATTATGAACCACTTTTATGCTATTTAATTGGGAATCTTATGAACCATTTTGATGCTATTTAATGGGAATATTCAGAACCACGTTTATGCTATTTAATTGAGAATCTTCTAAACCACTTTTAGCTATTAAATTTGAATCTTCTGAAGTACTTCCACATTTCATGAATCTGGCCTAACTAGGGGAGCCTCACGTGCAGGGGTCAGCGGAGGCCTTTTGAATGTTTTCTTAGGAACCAATTCCGTGCTACTTAATTGAGAATCTTACAAATCATTTCTATGCTATCTAATTCGAATCTTTTGAATTATATCTATGCTGTTTAATTAAGGATCTTTTGAATCGTTTCCATGCTCCTTAATTAACAATCTTTTGAACTATTTCCACATTTCATGAATCTGCAGACGGAGTCCTAACTAGGGCAGCCTCACGTGTAGGGGTCAGCGGAGGCCTTTTGAATGTTTTCTCTGAACTCTGAAAGTTTCTGCTGGTCGATCACGCGGGTGTTTCCAAACCAGCGGCGGTCAGGCTGGATTCTGGCGGGGGCCAGCGGCTGCGGCTCTTTGCCTCCCGGTCGCAGCCACTTTGGCTTGGAGTTGTACATGTGCAGCAGTCGGATTTTGCTTGCAGAGCGGTAGTGGCCTGCAGCCAAAGTTGAACAAGTGCTTCAACAAGTTTTTCGGAACTGCTTTAAACAAGCACTTCGGCAAGCTTTTCTGAACTGCTTCGAACACTTCACGAAACAATTCGGGGTTTCAGGTGAAGAGGGAATGCAAGGAAGCCACTGATCTGCGCAGCAGCTTCTAGTGCGTGTTCCACGGCTATGCATGCACACGCATGCCAGTCAAACGAAAGCTGAACATTCCAGGCCAAAAAAAGTTCAACTTTTCAGATTTCAAGTTCAAAAGGCCGGAAGACCCACCGGGTTTCTTGTTCTCTGGCAGCTGGCGATTCGGCAGAGTCGAGGCTGTGCCGCGGGTGATAGCGGAGCCCTTTGAGGGGCCTCCTGCGGCTTTGGGGCCCCCCCGGGCTCTTCGTTTGGCCATTTTGCTGCAGTGGTTTTGTTGCAATATATTTTGTGCGGGAAACTTGCGGAAGCCCGGAAAGGCTCTGCTGCTTGCCGGGTGTACAGACACCGGGCAGAAGGCGCGAGTGTGCGCCAGTAGGCCGAATCTCCCGCGTAAATGCTGCTGCTGTTTACTTTTAAAAAGCTGAAAATAGAATATCGGCCTGGCTGAGATCTTGGTGAAGGCTCTGGGTTTGCTGCTGCGTGGGGCGGCTCGGAAACTGCAGCAGCAGTCGCCGCCCCCCTTTCCCCTGCAACTTGAAAAGAATGAACTGCGTAACTGCGAGCCTTCCCCGAAACTAAGAAGGCTAGAAGAGGGGCCTCCAAAGCCACGCTAGTAAGCGGGTCTTCTGTGGGTCTGGAGATCTTTGGGGGCCAGCCCCAGGGCCCCTGGGCCGTGCCAGTTCTCCTTCGAAGCAGCAGCAAAAGATATAGTCTGCATGCATTTTTAAACAATAAACTGAATTTTTATTCAAGAAATTGCGCGTTTTACGCCGAAAAGAAAGCCCCGGGCCCGCCGGAGCTACAAATGCCCTCTTCTCCTTGGGGCCCCTCCCGCAGGCCACCTGGGCCATCGACTTTGCAGAAATGCGCAAATCAAATTTTGTTCAAATTTAATGAAACTGCTTCCAGCAATTGATGTGCAGAGCCTCGACGCGTTGGTTTGCGCCTGAGACCCGAACGCGAGCGGGCCATGCAGCGTCCTCCTCAGTCTCAGAGTTGCCAAGATCCGCAGACGCAGCAGCAGCAGCAGCAGCAGCAGCAGCAAACTGCGCACAGTCTTCAGCAAAGCCAGCCGCTGCAGCAGCCGCCAGCAGCAGCAGCTTCGCTCCTCCAAAGTGCAGAAAAAGGCTCTTTGGGAGGCTTTAGAGGAGGCGACTGGCGGGGAAGGGCTGCTGCATGCGATGGGCACTTGAGGGGTGCTCCGGGGTCGCGGGGCCCCGTGTTGCTGCCTCCGGCAGTCCAAAGAGCTTCAAAGCGCATTTATTTGACGCTTAATTGCAATATAAATGCAAATAATGCTTCAAAAATAACGTTTCCCGCAGATGTGCTGAGGGTTACCGTGCTTGGTGCCGGCCAGGATGTTGGGCGCAGTGCGGTGTACGTACAGCGCGGCGAGAGGGGGCTGCTGTTCGACTGCGGCAGCCACTTGGGCGCCAAGCAAGCGAGAAAGCTGCCACTTTTGAATTTGCTGCTTCAGTTGGCTCCGCAAAAAAGTGGAAAAGATGATTTGCAGACAATGGAGGAGGCCCTGCTCGCGCCTTCGCCGCTCTTCGCCTGCTGTACAGACGCCACTCTCATTTCCCACTTCCACATGGACCACTGCGGCTCTTTGCCTTCATTTACAGAACGTCTTGGGTAAGAATGAAAACTGTTTCTCCCCGCGAGTCCTTGCGGCCCTGCGTGCCCCGTAGGGTGTATGTACAGCAGCAGCGAACGCCAGAGGAAGCTGGGTCTTCGGAGCCACAGACAGCTGCTCTTCGCTCTTTTTGCACAAACAAAGCATTGGGACATGTTTGAAAGGATTTTCGTGGATTTCCTGACCAAGAATCCCGGAGACTTTGGCAGCTTTCTTCAGCACTTGCTGCTTGCGGTCTCGTGCTGCTGGCTGTGCGGCTTTGCAGATACCGAAACCCAATAGCCATGACTTTCCCCACCCGCGCGCTGAGTCCAGTGCTGCTGCTGGACAGCGCGCGCATCTTTAAAGAGGCGGCTTTCCGGGGGCGGCAGCAGCTGCTGTCTGAGGGTAAGCAGCAAGTTGTGTGGGGCGCAGCCCCGCAGCGTTGCTGCTGCTGCTGCTGCTGCTGCTGAGTCTTTTGGCCTGCAGAGCCTCGCGTCTTTGTTTGCAGCTGCGGCTGTGTGCTGCAGCCGAAGGCGGCAGCAGAGACGCGAGCCTGAGCAGCAGCAGCAGAGACGCGAGCCTCAGCAGCAGCAGCAGAGACGCGGGCCTCAGCAGCAGCGGCAGCAGCGCCAGCGGCGAAGGCAGGGTGGGGGGCCCTGGCGCTTCTTCGCAAGAACAGTGGAACTACACTGAGGCGGAGGCGCAGCGCTGCATGCGCCGCTGTGTGGCTCTGCGGCTGCACGAGTCTTGGGAGGCGGGGGGGTGGACAGTGACTCCTTACTACGCTGGCCACGTTTTGGGGGCTGCCATGTTGCATGCGCAGCTCCCTGGAGGCCCTTCGATCGTGTACACAGGTACCACATTCTTTACTTATTTGAAGCAGCATAGTGCATTCTTTGCATCTGAAAATGCAGTCAAAATGACTCCTTACTCGTCCAGTGTCTGTACAGCGTAGTCCCGCTACCCCGCGGCTTTCCGTGCACTGTCTGTACAGCGTAGTCTCGCTTCCCCGCTGCTTTCAGTTTCTGACTGAGTTTGAACTGTCGAGTATTGCAAATCACCTTAAAAGTCTAATTTTTCTTTAAGAAAAGTACTAGGTTTCGCTAGAAGTTCATTTGCATGCAGGAGATTTCAACACTTCTCCCGACAGACATTTGGGCAGCGCGAGCATTCCGAGGCTGCAGCCGGACTTGCTGATTAGCGAGTGTACATACGCTTCGTTTGTGCGGCCCTCGAAGAGAATAACGGAGAGGGAGTTTTGCGACGCTGTGCACGACGCGCTGAAGAAAGGAGTGCGACAATAATGAATTCATGCCATTTAGATCCAGTTTTTGTTGAATTTGTTGTCTCTTCCCCCTGCATGCGCTGCAGCAGCAGACGCGCGGCGCTTGAAGCAAGCCCTTAGTCATTTCACATGCTGCACTTCTCTGCGTTTTTGCTTCAAGGGCAAAGTGCTGATTCCGGTCTTTGCCGTGGGAAGAGCCCAAGAGCTGTGCATGCTGCTGAACTCCTACTGGCAGCGCATGCAGCTGCAGTACCCGATTTACTTTGGAGGCGGCATGACGGAAAAGGCCAACAAGTACTACAAGCTGTACGTACAGTGGACTGGCAGCGACTTGCTGCACCGCCTAGGCGGCGCGAATGCGCAGCAGAATGCATTTGCTGACCAAGTCGAGGATGATTCTCCGGGGTCGGGTGCGTAGGCCCAGGAGTTGCACTTCAAACTGCAGCAAATTGAACACGAAGTTCCCACTATTTGCCTCCTTTTGAACCTCTTGAGTTGCCCTTTGACTGCTCGTCTCAGCCGGCGAGTTCGGGGCTTTCGACTTCTCCCACATCTCCACGCTGCCGCCCGAAGTGCTCACGTCCCCCACTCCCATGGTGCTGCTTGCAACCCCCGGGATGCTCCACGGGGGCCTGGCCTTGAAGGCTTTGAAGCTGTGGGCTGGGGGGCCGGAAAATCTCGTGTTGCTTCCGGGGTATTGCGTGCGGGGCACTGTGGGGGCGATGCTCATAGATGGTAAGCCGCAGCACTCTGCGGCGCGAAGGCCCGCAGCCCTGTTTTTACACACTAATAGTTGAAATGTGACAGTGAAACTGCATGCTTTAATCTTTGCTTCTTGTTAATAGTTGAAATGTGAAAGTGAATTGGCAGCCAAGAGGAAAAAACATGCCTTAATTTCTGTTTCTTCTTAATAGTTGAAATGTGACAATGAATTGGCAGCTGAGAGGAGACTGCATGGTCTGATCTTTGTTGCACTTTTATAGTTGAAATGTGACAGTTAATTGGAAGCTGAGAGAAAATTGCATGCTCTAATTTTTGTTGCGCCTTTCTAGTTGAAATGTGACAGTGGATTAGCAGCTAAGAAGAAGCTGCATGCTTTAGTTTTTGTTGCACCTTAATAGTTGAAATATGACAGTGAATGGCAACTAAGAGGAAACTGGATGCTTTAATTTAAGAGAAGGGCTGTTCGCGGTGGCGCAGGACAACGAGACATTCCGCTGGACGCAAGGACGCGGCTGAAGGTGCTGTGCAAGGTGAGGTACATGTCCTTCTCGGCGCATGCAGACACTACAGGGATCCAGCAGCTGGCGAGGCATTTGCAGCCAAAAGCCATTATGCTGGTTCACGGCGAGAAAGAGGGAATGCTGAAACTGGCGCGAGTGCTGCACCGGGAACTCGGAGTTCCCGTGCACACTCCGCCTTCGGGGCAGACAGTCTCAGTGCCTCTCGACAAGACAGAGCCCCGCGTCTCTGTCTACATTCACGATCTTTGCTTCCGCCGCACTTTGGCAGCGCCTAAGGAAACTTCTGCAGCTGCAGCTGCCAATTCAAGAGAGGCGCTCTGGGAGTGTGAGGATCCCGCCGTAAGTAACTCCGAAAAATGTTGAAAAAGTGGAATTAACACCGCAAACAGAGGATGGCAGACAATATATTGGTCTATAAGCCAGCTAATTTTGAATTTGCTTCTGCTGCTGCTGCCGCTTTCCACTGCTGCTGCCTGTTGCGTGTGCGGGGGCAGATGCATTTGCTCTTCGACGGATCCAGCGGGCAAGCCAAAGTGGGGGCTTATGTTGTGTTCGTTTTCAGTTGACAGCTTTACTGGAGTCTCCAGTAATGCGAAGGTACTTGCCGCAGTCCTCGGCGAGCGCCCAAGGGCCCCGCTGCTCTTCAGTTTCACCCTATTGCTTCCCCCCCCCCTCTTTGTTCTTTCGAGTTTCAAAAAGAAGTGCAGCAAAAGAAGAAGCGGGCGAGGCAGCAGAAAAGGAAAGCAGCAGCAAAGAGCTGTGCGCTGAGACTCCCGCCGAAGACCTGCACCTCCTGATGGACTTAGACAGCCTCGTGGCTGCAGCAGCAGCAGCAGCAGCCAACGGCTGTGGGAGCCTCAAGCACTGCAGCAGCAAACAGGGGCACGCTGCAGCGCCCAGCGGGCCCCGCGCTGCAGCAGCAGACTGCGCAGGGGTTTCCCCGGGAAACAAAGAAGAAATTCAATTTGCACCGTCTGCTGCAGGGGTGGGGACAGCTGCTGCAGCGGCTGCTGCTGCAGCAAGAGTCCCGCCGCGCTGCATTCAGTTGCTTTCGCTGCGCTATCGGCATGAAGTGGAGATGGAAGCTGCAGTGTTTCAGCAGCTTCTCCATCTGTTCATGGACTACATTGTTCAGTGCAGGAAAGCTTATGAGCAGCAGCGGAGGCAGCGCAGCGCGAGTGGCGAAGCGCCGGCTCCCCTGTCTCTCGAGACACCCGAATTCTGCGACTTCGGCCCCCAGCTGAAACTCAGGCAGATGGAGGGAGGCGGAATCATTATTGAATTTTTGTCTCTTGTCGCAGTCCACAATGGGCGTGACCGGCTGCAAATGCAGTGGGCAGAGACGGTGGGCTTGCACTCACGATTGTCTTGTTTGAAATCTCCACAGAAACTTACTTGTGGCTTGACTTTTGCATTTGCAAGCACTTGCAGTTTGCCCGCGAGCATTTGCTGCGAGGTGCATTTTGCAGGACGAGCGGCGAAATGGGGCTGTGTCGGCCTTTGTTGAGTACTTCTCCAGAATGGCGGAAGCTAATACAGACTCAAAAGCTGGTGAATGCTCCTAAGAAGCTTCCTGATGCATCTCGCTCACAATCCCGCAGCAGGGTGAGTTCCCTCATGGTTGGCCAGTTGCCAGCAGCTTGTTCGGCGCTAACGAAAACCTTTGTCGCGGCATGCAAAGAGCTCGCAGCACCAATTCGAAATATGGTGTGGGTCCTTCCGATTTTGAGGACGTTTGTTTTTTAGCTAGGGCTGAGAACGCCAGCGTGTGGAAACGGTAGTTCCTTTTTTGCTGGGTTTTTACAGTGGAAGCGAATAGTTTGCGATCTGTGGTTGAGCCATGAAGGCAGACCCTTTTTAAATGTTTTTTAGAGAAAACTCTGCAGAGCTGAGATGCTTTTCGATGCATGCTCTCAGCTTCCAATGAGGCAGTTTGTCCATAGTGAAAGTGGACGTACATCCCAGACTAGCGAGCAGCAGATTCGTTCAGATTATTCTCGCATTGCCAGACGCAGAGAGCATTTGCAAGGCTTGATATTTTAGTTTGCGACAATGTTACATTCAGCAGCGTTTGCCGCAGCTGCAGCGCTGTACAACATGGTACTTGTTGGTGCAGAGCCCCCCACGGCGCAGGCGGGCATGGTAGTCGGACGGCTGCGCGTAGCCCCAGCAAGCGGAAGAAATGCAATGATTGGCATTGGGAATGAGCCCGATCAGTTTCAAATGGGCATTGATGGATCGGGGAACTTCATCATAGCAAGCCCACGAGCAACCATACTGAGCGTGGACAACGAAGACACCATGAGCATCTATGCCAATGTTTCGACCAGGTGTTATTGAATGCTATCTTCATATCCCATCTTGCGTTAATATGAATAATCAGCTCTTTAAATCTTCAAGGACCCTTGCTGGTCCACGGCGTTCCACAATTTCGCACAACGCACCGCGAAGACTTCTCCGCAGGGAAAGCTGAAGGTTGGGACAACCCAGGTTGGCTGCAGATCCTGCGGACCAGGCAAAGGAAACACTAATTGCAGAGCAGCGGCACAGGAGATTGTGTCGTCATGCGCTGGGATATCCATGTTGGGAGGCTATGGGAAGTTTGCGAAGGTATGCGCCCAACTGCACTTGACTAGGAATTCAACTAACAAGATATCAGGGAGAAATAAGCAAGAGTTTCGGTCGCCTGCCGCCCCACACGGAGTTGCGGGTCAAGGCCACTTTTCACTTTATTGATGCTTGGGTAATAAGACTATTTCCTAAGACGCTGTGCAAGCCCTAGTCTATTTGCAAGACTCCAGGTGGGAGAGACCGGCTTCATGCGGCTTGATGTTGGTACGGCGAGAGATCGAAAAACTGCAGAGAACATCTTAGCTCGCACTTGCTGGACAAAGGGCCGGGCGGCGAGCTCGTGTACTCCTGGACTGAGCGGTATGGCTGCAGCACTCAACATTTTGAAAAAGATGAATTTGGCCGCCGCACCAGACACTCACAAGATTTTGAACAAAAAGCAGTAAATGCCTGTGGAGGTAACTTCCCCAGCTGGCCTACACTCGGGGCTCTGCGCGTGACCACTGGTCATCTTAGGCCCCGTTGGTGAAGGAAAGTTTTCTACACCGATCGAAGTCGTCGTGCCTCACGACAAAGACTCGGTGACTGTTACGTTTGGAAGCACCGTAAGACAAGAGTATCAATGCTGGCGGCAAAAACTCTGACGAACTTGGCCGCAGATTGAGACAGATGACCCGTTTGATCAGAGCTGGGGAGTAAGCCGACACAAGCTGTGCAACATCCTCCACAAACGCTACCCAGAACAGGTTTCTGCAGTTGAGATAGCTGTTCGCTAGTTTTCGATGCCTCTGGTCAAGGTCACCAGCTTAAGCAACTTGCTTAATCGTTTTCGCCGAAAGCAAGGCAAAATGACCTCGCACTCGGCATTCCTCCCTGGCAATGAACACCTCGCGATCCGCCGATCACAGTTCGGCTTCTTCCTGAGGAGTCTTGTTCGCCTCTTGCTCTTCTTCAATCATCATGCCCTCTGTTGTGAGAACAAGTCCCGCGACTGAAGTGGAGTGTTCTATGGCGGAGATGCACACTTTTGCCGGGTCAATGACGCCCTGGCTAATCATGTCGCCAAATCTGTTTGTTTTTGCATTCCAGCCAAATCCGAAAGGCTTCTTGGCATTTAATATTGCGTTTACCACTCTGTCGCCGTCAAGGCCTGAGGGCAACAATCACACGAAGACAGAAAACATGATTGCATACATGTATCGAAAACGAACTGGACAGTGCACAGGGCAGTGTGCGTTTCTGTACGTAGGACGTACCCGCGTTTGATGCTATTTGTTTAGTTATAGATGCCATCGAATCCGCCACAATGGTGGCTCCTGCCTTTTGCAGCTCGATTTCACTTTCCATTTCCTCTGCGAAAGCCACACACCATGCCGCAGTTGCACTGTGAAGCACAGGCAGCAGGAACTGAGAGCGTCACAGACAGCTCTTACCAACAACTTGGAACTCCTCGCCAGTTGACTCATCGACTCCCTTCATCTCCTCTCTAGCGGTCTTCTCCACCGTGTCGAGGACTGTCTTCCGGAATTGCTCGGTGCTAAGCGCGAGGTACGTCACGCCGCCGCCAGGCACGTACCCAGTTTCAATGGCAGCTCGAACTGCATTGATGGCGTCTTCGTACCGCAGCTTCTTTTCTTTCTGCTCTGTCTCCGTGGACGCGCCAATCTGCAGACCTCATGCAGAAGCAAGAAATTGCATAATTTGAACTGGCTGTTGACTCCTACGTTAAGTAGCAAGCAAGCAGAGAAATCCTTCGTCTATAGTTTACAACATACCATAATCCTTGCAATGCCTCCTGAAAGGGCAGCAACACGCTCGCCCAATTTTTCCTTGTCGAACTTCGATGTGGCTGCGTCTATCTCTGCCTGGAGTCTCTGAACTCTGCGGTTCACAAGTCATGGCCATGTAGAACAAAAGCCTCCACTTCTTTGGGGAAATGCATTACTGCCAGCAATAAGCCATGCGAAGTGCCAAAAAGTGACAGCCAACAATACATGAACACCAGCAGCACGGCCGCTCCTCACCTATCTTGGATCTGCTGTTGGAATTCAGGCCTTGTCAAAATGGACGTTCGATCCTTTCTTACAACTACACCCTGAGCGCTGCCGATGTGCTCGGCAGTGGCATCTTCGAGTGGGAGCCCTAAATCCTTCGAGATCAGTTGGGCATTAGTGGCAACTGCAATGTCACGCAAGTAGTCTTTGCGCCGCTCACCGAACGAAGGGGCACGGATGGTCACCTGAACAAATTTGAAATGAATGTTCGCATTTAGCTGCGCATGAGCGCCGCCACTATGGATGTCTCAAGTGTGTGCGATACAGTCTCGCTTTCCGTTATGAACACGCACCACTTTGAGCAGCCTCCGCATGCTATTAATGATGCAGGTCTGAAGCATGTCCGTGGAGAAGTCCTCAGCAATAATAACGAGTGGCTCCTTAGTTCGGACAAAGTGCTCGAGAATCGGCAGCATGGCTTGAGCGCTTTCTATCTTGTAGTCGCAGACCATCACGTGGGGGTTCTTCCACTCAATGAAGTCTGCCTCCTCGCCGAGCAGGAAGTACGGTGAGCTATAGCCCCTCTCAAAGGTGTAACCTTCGGTGAATTCAAGCTGCAACAGAAGGACAACCGCAGTGTCACTTATAGCGATGTCTTTTCTCGTTCCGACACGTAAACGGTGTTCATGTGGGTCCAAGGATTGTCGTGAGGTTGAGCATTTTTTGCCTACGTTGTCCTCTTGCGATGGGTTGTTTTCCAGCACGATCGCAGCGTGGTTGCCCAGTTTGTCGAAGGCCTTCGCAATCACTTCGCCCATTGACGCGTTTCCGCTCGTCGCAACGGTCGCGATGTTCAGCAAGTCGCCGAAACCGTTGACGGGTTTCGCAAGCTTCTTCACTTCATCCATCATGATGCGCGCAGCCTTTTGAATACCACGTTGTAAAGGAATAGGGTTGTGGCCTTGGTTCACGTACTCAACACCCTATGCACACACGAAGCTCAGAAGTCACTAGGGTCTGCCAGCTACTAGGGTTTATCGATCTAGTTCAGGCCTGGGACCAACGGGGACATGAATAATACCTTCTTCGCTATTTCCGCTGTGAGGATTGTTGTGGAAGAAGTCCCATCTCCAGCCCATTCGTCAGATGTTGAGGCAACTTCCTGCACAAGCTTCGCTCCTGCATTGTGTGCCCTATTAGGAAGCTCTATGTTCCGTGCGATTGTAACTCCGTCGTTCACTATCAGCGGCGGCCCGTAATCCTTCTCCAATAGCACGTTTCGGCCACGAGGCCCGAGTGTTACCTGCATGCCAATGCCAACAAGCCCTTTACACGGTGCACACGCAAAAACCCACCAAAGTAACAACCAGGGCACTACGCAAGAATACCTAGAATCGAAAAATGCTTCAGGGAGGCAAGAACGGCGTCTTACGCGAACAGCATCAGCAACTTGCTGAATTCCCTCCAGCAGTTGGTTTCTGCATTCATCTGCCAAGATGATTCTCTTCGATCTTCTCGCCTGCGAGCACAACAGCCACCGATGCCACTCATGCTGTCCACGTGGTAGTGCACCTCTTCCACCAACTGATCATGAAATCTGCGGAACACCGAAAATAAACCGCATAAAATATGTCTCAGGGAGATCGGATGACTCTGCACTCGAGAATTACTCACGAAGACACCTGTGGATGACTGGGCCTGCCTGACAACGTGTGGGGCGGCGAAAGTTGCCAAGGAACTCGAGCCCATCTGCCTAGTAGGAGCCAAAGCTGTGGATCTCAAAGATCCCAGCCCGTGAAGACTTGAAGGGCCCATAACAGAGCTTGTTCGCGAAGTTTGGAAAGCTCCGACAAAAGACACAAAGGCGGCCGCCACCAGGGTGGCCAGAACTAGCAGAGCAGGGTGTCCCCCCATTTTCGCTTGAAGGGAAAATAACGCTCTGATTTACTTACGTTTAGTTGTATTAGTAGGTAATGGTAAACCATGAAGCTGCTACGGGC